ATGCCACCTTATCAGCCAGCTCTCGTGCCTGGCGATTACTGCAATCTGCTGAATTATTCGAGCCTGCTGTGCATTGTTCGTGCTCAAAAGCACCACTCGTAACTGCTTTCTTCAGCACACTTCTCAAACGAGCACCAGTCTAGAATGTAACATCCATAGGTGTAAGTGAATAAAAACAAAGTAGAAGAAACGCACACACAGCAATGGTAACATAATAAGAATAGTCAAATTTTATATTTATCTCAAGCCCAGCAAATCTCATATTTATACATCTTATGCCTATTATTTAAAACCCAGCCAGAGCATCGTCAAATCTTACTAGTAAATAGTTCGACAAGCCCCAGCGAATATGCGCTTTTTTGTAAAAGCCTCATAGGGGATATCAGTAGCTGTATCATATCATGAAAATCTGATTATCTACACCCCCATATGAGCCTCAAAAATTTTGAAATCTTGGCCAAGTGGGCCGTTGTTTTGAAATTTTTGAGGTTTACTTATTTTGAAGCTATTGTATTAGCAGTAATAAATCAAAATGATAGTAAGCTCAAGGTCATTCTTCTGGACGAAGGCATCTGGCCCAGAAGGTTGACACTGGTTGTGGTTCAAAGTAAGCCACATAATGATGTAATAATCCGATATAATTAGATAAAAACAGCTTTTTCACCGGATTCTTTCGTAACCCTCTCTTGATTGCTTGGTAGATCTCTACAACACAAATGATTATCATCAGTTGTTTGGCCGTATACTCCATTTAAATGATGAGAACACATTCAATATAAAACTTAAGCTGTTAATAATACGAAAATCGAGATAATGGATCTCAGTAAAGCATGCATTGATGAACAAACCGTCGAGCATTCTGTGTTTCATCCCTTAGCTGCAAACACAAACAGAACTATACGTGCGAGTTGGACAGGAATCATCAGTACAGCCTAATACCCATATAATACGGAACAGCTTCTAACCTCCTGCAGCTTATCACTGATATTAGAGATTGCGAGACGCCTTCGTTTCCGTTTTTGCTTCCTTCCATCCACAGCACTTTTTCTTGCAATTTCTGCAGCAACTTCGGAATCCATTCGAAAGGGCGATGTGATGCCGTAAAATCCAGGGTTGGGTAAACTGTAAATGTATCACTTTTAACAGCTTCGTTAGCTCGCTGGAAATCAGCAGTATAATTTAAATCCCAAATGTTTACACTGATCATATGGTTATCAAAACTAACAGCGAAGCTAATATCCGAATCCATTTTGACTTTGCCTCTCTTAGCACCTCATTTATTTTTTCATTATTTGATCTTTGACGCCAAATCTTGCATTTTCGAGCAGAAAAATAAATTGCTCATTTTTTCCAGCGTAAATTTGCATTTTTAACTTAAATTTCTCCGCATTTCCATCAATAAAATTTTCCATTTTCTGCCCAATTCATGCATAAGTTGTAGTAAATTTTGCAATTTTTAACCTACTTTTTTTGCGTTTCGTCGCAGCAGCAACAGTTCAGGACTTTTCGGCATCACAAACCAGGAGGAGGGAAAAGATGAGAGAAAGAGGAGGGGGTGGGGATACAACAGGAGAAAAAAAGAGATATTAGAAATTGGACGGCTCAACAGATTACAATCCATGGGAATGTCCATTTTACAAAGCCAGTCCAACCGACTCGAAATGCAACAAATATTCTGAACGGTGTAAGCGAAATAGCCACCCGCAGTAGTAGTGCAAGTACCAATGGCGCCAGCGAATTTACAGCCAAATGTGATATTCAATTTCAAATTCACCTGCCGCTTGTTGCATAAATTTCTCTATAATAAGCCAATTCATCAAGCACCGCATAACTGGTATCTCGCATCCGAATGATCTTTTGCCACGGCCACGCATTATCCGCCATCCCGGATCTCTTGCGTGAAAACCTGAAATTTCTTCATTTTGTTTTCCGAACAAACATAGCTTCGCTTTTTATCCATAACTGTTAAAAGCTGGAGAGGAGAAATAAAAATAATTAGAATTCACAAAAATTCGAATTTCAACTGCGGTGTTTAACTTCGATAAAACAATATGACGTGGCAACCAACATTACCCGCCCTGAAATGCACACTAAAGAGTGCTGAAAGGTAAAAAGTGGAACAAAAAACTTTATTTCAACTCAAAAACATGCTAAATTCATAAAAAATTGTCAAAATTTTTGAAAATTCTGCAAGAAAAAAAACGTAGCCAAAAACAACACAATACGCCCATTATAATCAATTTAAACAAACGCAGTATCACTAAAGCTCCCGCAAATAACACGGAAAGTATTGTACAGTAGGAAAAGAAGAAAAACCCGAAAGGAATCAGAGAAAAATTTTTTACAAATTCATAAAAATGTTTTTATAAAAATCGCACAAAAATTCGTTTTAAGTCAAAATTAAAATTTGTTTCAGTCCTTCAGTGAATCGATCATAAAACTTATTGCTAT